GTTAAGGGGCTGGAATGTCGACCGATAATCGTACAAATTGATTTCCATCTAAAAAGTTTTCCTCGTAAAAATAGATTGGTTCAGGGAAGGGACGGAAAAAATTGATTGCTTCTGATTGTTTACTAATCACCTCGGCCATTCAGAAAAGCTTGCCATTTGCAAAAAGTGATATATCAATGGATTTTCGCTTTGACTTCGCTCTGTTCATCAAATTGTCATTTTCAGGATGTCGCAACGGAAAGCCGCATACAAGTACAGGGCCAGGTTGAACGATTGGCAGATCTACATGCAGATCGCTTAAAATTATACGACCAGTTTACGGATGCTGCAAATAAGTATAAAAATAATAAGGTCCGCTTATTACTGTTGTTTGGGGTAAAAAGTTGTCTGCTTGTGTGTGTGTGTGTGTCTATTTTGAACTGATGTTGTGCGCTGTGTTTCTGGGAGACTGCTGCTCGGGTAGAGAAATCGCACATTGCTTGGTGTTGCACGGGACATACCAATTACCACCGCTGTTCCCCCTCCCCCCATTATTGAGGTTCAAACTGCATCCGAATATCCCACATCCACTTCAGTTCCAGTTTTCCAGTTCTCTCGGTATCAGCCTTTCTCTCAACTACAGCTGTATCGAAGGCCTTTCTCTCAACTACAGCTGTATCGATCAAAGATCTTGAAATCCAGGAAGTGTGGATTCCCTTGTGCTCATTTATTGGCAACTTTTCCACTGCTTTTCATGCAACATATCATCTTCGTAAAAATTAAGTTCGTAAGCCTGGAAATTCTGTTCAGGACCTTGGTTCATACACTTCATCGAGGAAGAAGGCAGAAAATGATCTGAAGAATGTTGGACAGGCTATAGGTGACTTGCAGGTCGAATTGAAATCTTCAAACGCTGATATAGCTGAAAAGGTGTGCCATCGCTGTTTTTATATTTTTGCTTCAAATTGAAATTTCACTTCCCATTACCAAATTCAGTATTGCGGGAGCAGTATAAAACTGGAATTGATCCAGCCAGGAGAACATGGTTGTGGTCGAGAATGACCGCTTGAAACAGTTTCATGCAAATAGATATTTTTTCAAATTAGCTGCATAGTCTGAAAATTTTGTGAACTCAGTAGCATGCACAGTGGAAGGGCATCTTTTTTGAGGGACGATGAAAGGAAGGAGTAGTTAAGCAACAAAATTTGTTGTATCTGTATGAGAGGAAAGGCGGTGAGGCCATTCCCTCATCTT